GCAATATCTGTTTGTATATTGTCGCCCAACACTGAAAAGACTAGACTAGAAAAAACAAAGTTACAAAGGTACTCACATATCGGTCCCGCTTGTGCCAGAGGTTGAGAAAACGAAAGGGCGAAAGTTTACCAAGACTATTCCAAATTTACGAAGAACTGATTAAAGGGACGCCAACATTGCCTTTTATATGCGCGTGGTGACGCTGAAAGGTCCAATTACAAAACCAATAGAAATACAGAAAAACAGATAAACATTGTTACTATGTACGTATCTAAGATCATCCTGAAAATAGTGAACTAATCAATAATCAATCAAAAAATGAGCCTTTTGACTTGTGTCCTTAACACACAGTGATAAAGCAGATATAAGTACGGAATCTGTCTTTGTATCAAAGAAAAGTGTACACCTGCCAATCTTCTGTCAAATTGATTTAACTTCCAAATTCATTGTATTCTCAGCTTCGTTCAGAAACATAACTTTGCAGTGATGAACTGTGAGAGAAAAAAGAATTATGTTGTAAAAATATGATATCAACGTACAGGCTGGACTGCGTTCCCAAGACTTTTAAAGTGAGTATAAGTGTGGGTGTCAGTTTTCTAAATTTCCCTGAAGAGATAAATTCTTATCAATCATGGTTCATAACTACCAAGATTCTAAGACAATTCTATACCTTACCACTGAAAGTAAATGCATCAATTTCCCAAGTTTCATGGTTAAAGTTTAGAATTTCCGAAAGACTGTCTACTAATATAATCAAGCAATTCTAAGCCTTAGAGCTTTTGGTGCTTCTCTTTTGAATCTGAGTTAATGCTTTTGCAGAAGAAATTCAAATCAATTCCTACTGTCCTTGTATCTGCTGAGCATGAAAGGCGGGGAGTGAAGCACGATGCGTCCACTGTCTGGGTGGAAGATTTGACGACAACTTCTTTCAAGATCTGTATCAGGGAATTACAGAATTTTGATGGAGCTCACCAAAGTATCCATGTGGTAAGCAGTTTTAAGTTATTCATAACGTTGAATAATATTTCATGATTTTGGGAAAGTCTTAATTTGAGCTCTATTCTCCATCAAGTTTGGTAAAAAACTCGTTTAACAACGATGACCAGGTCATTTCCTGCCATGTTTCCTATCTGCATTCATTCCTGATGTTGATCTGGTTTTGTCTTTGATTTTTCAAAGGATTGGATGGCATTTGAAGAGCTACATCGACCCTTGTTTAGAGAACATGGCTCATTATACTTTGCCAATGCGAAAAAACCATCTAAAGATTTTAACTACGCTTTTTGTGAGGTATGTTTGGTTCACCTGACGTGTATTAATAATTTTTTTGACTGCACTCTCTAAAGAAATTCACTCATTTACTTGCGATGCACACGCACACTTACTCATTCACTCACTGAATCACCAACCCGACCACTCACTCACTCACTTAATCAATCACTTAATCAGTCACACATTTACTTGATTACTCACTAACAAATTTATAAGATCACTCACTCACACATTCATCTCTTACTACCTTTCCGAAACTTCACAAGGAACATACCTTTAACCCAATTGTTTACATATTGACTCTATCATTCGTTATTTTCCCATCTGAAGTCCATATAAGCCATTCACCCGCTAAGTAATATGCAAGCCGCATGGCAGACATAAAATTCATGAAATAACTTAATGGGTTTGCTCACTCTAATTTCCATGAGTACTCCGTATTGAGATAATCATCTCTTTTATTCGAGAAAAGAGTCTTCTAGAATTCTACAGATATTATTAGGTTTGCAGTAAATGGTTTGAACCCGGGGGTAACATGTAAAGGTGTAGTCTGATCGTCCGGGTGAGTGTAGTCCTGAGAAGGACTGTTGTCGGTGGTAGTGACTGACGTTTCGACAACCTGTGCGGAAGTCATCATCAGAGTCAAGTGAATGATTGTTGTCAGTAGAATGTTCTTATTCCAGTTCGTGTGAAATGATCGGTTGGTTTTGCCGTGATGTTATTGGCTGTAAGACTCAAGTGACGTAAGTCGGTCGTGATTGGTCTGTTTCGATCTGTCGGTAAAGTTAGGTCGTTCTTTTTCGGTCGTTTGTGATGTTTATGTCGTGAATGAGTCGTTTGTATGGAGCGGGTAGTTGTTGACATCTGTTTAGGGGAGTCTGTTCTAAGTTAGTAAACCAGCTTTCCAGAGTCAGTCGTTGAAAATAGTCAGTGCTGTAGGTTAGGCATTGCGCAGAGTCCCAGTCAATGTTGTGGTTGGTAAGTCGATGGTGTTCAGCAATGTGATTGCTGACATCACCTTTCCTCGTCGCCCGTCTGTGTTCAGTCAGTCTTGTTGTGAGGTTTCTGCCAGTCTCACCGATGTAGGAGGCTTGGCAGTCGGAACAATTGATCTTATAAATCGTTCCCTGTCTGTTCCTCGGTTCGTCTTTGTCTTTAACGTTGGTTAGTAACTGACGTAGTGTGGTGATGGGTTTGTGGGCGACGCGGATATTGAAGGGTAGTAAGATGCGCGAGATGTTTTCAGACATACCTTTTATGTACGGTATGGTTGCTGTAGTCGTAGGGGTTGCGGTGTCGTTTGTTTCGGTAGTGGTAGTGGGTCGGTGAGTGTTTCGTCGGATGAAGTCGTTGTTGTAGTTGTTCTTCGTAAAAACACGGTGAAGGTATTTGTTCTCGTCGGATAAGCTGTCTGTCGAGTCACATACTAGTTGTGCGCGTCGTGTTAGAGTTCTGATAGTTGTGGCTTTGTGTGATGTAGGGTTGTAGGATGACTCGTCTAGTAATCTGTCGGTGTGTGTCGGTTTCCTGTAAACTGTCGTTCGTAATGAGTTGTCGTTGTGGCTTACCAGGCAGTCTAGAAAAGGAAGTCGCTTATTAGTCTTACTAAGGTCTGTTAAGTTTTTGGCACAAACTCTCCATGCCCCTCTAAGGCCAAGCAAAATGGAATTTTGAGCATAATTCATGCTATAAACAGACCAAAGTCTTGACATAAAGCCTTTATTTTGTACTTGGTGAGTGAAAATGAAACATTAAAGCCAAATCAATGTCATTATTTAGAAATGTCTCGACTCATAGCTTATAATTACTCCAAGAAGGCCTCTGATTGCCATTGCAAACACCCTGAGGTTTAGCAAAATAAAAGTAATTTTTTTCCAATGAAAACCTTGAACCAATCATAGAGCACAAATGATGATGTTCTGACCTAGATATGACAATATTTTTTAAAGATGATTGAATTTTATCTGATCTATGTTTGTTAGGCCATATATCCATACATATTACACTTCAAGCATGCAAAGTCTCTATATTTTGTCAGGCCGTTTTTAAATTGAAAATAAGGTGACCTTAACGCGAGCGGCCTTAACCATTAGGCTCAGAATAAAACGATCGTTAAAAGATGATCTACGCCTGACCTTTGAATAGTCTGAATAGCTCTTGCAAATACCCATCACTTAGCGAGCATGACCATAAGCTAACGTGCCACAGTGAACACCGTCCAGGTGACTTGTGATCCATCAGAGATCTTAGGTACTTTAGAACTGAATAAATAGAACCATCCAAAAAAGAGGGAACCGACAGTCAGAAGAGCTGGATGACAAAAATTATTGTTACTGTTTAAATGAAATATTCCACACGAGACACGAAATGATGCCAATAGGGCCCACTATTTTGGATGCGAGAGTATTGGGACTGGACCAAGTTTCCATTCCTCCCACTAATTCAAATGTAAATGTTTGTGTCCTTTATATTAAGTATTAAAGTATAGCGATGAGAAGTTTCAGGATAATTTTACGATGGCGCTTTGTTCCTTTGGAGGGGTAAATGATCAATGCGGTGCCGCGTCATGGGTTCTGCGCGAAACAGGAATGACTTCTTTGTTTTCTTGCGATAATGACTCGACCACTTGATTAAAACACAAGTACAAGGTTTCAGGTGAGTCCGGGGCGAGAGGAAGATCGGGTGATACCAAAGCTGCAAGTACAGGTAATTAAAAGTACACGAAAGGGCTTATACACGCGCATAAATGTGGCAAATGGCCTTTTTAGTGCTAATCTTGCTAAGAGCGGTCCTCTCAACTTCCCGTCAAAAAAAATTTTTCCTTAGTTTTTTTCTTATGAAAAGGGTTTAGGACACATGTTTCAAAATAGTTTGGTGGTTTTTCAATTTTCTTTTGTATAAAGATTTCAACTTTCGCGAACTCTCTGCCTAAGAAAGATTAGCTAAGGTGTTACAAAAGCAAGAACTCAGTCAACTACAGTCATTGTGCGAGTTTTTTCGACGTTGAAATTATAAGCGATACTAATCGTAAGGCATAATATTATCAAGCTTTTCTACCGTAAGAATATTCCTGTGATTGCGGCAAGTGATGGTCAAAAGACCCGCGTTACTCAAAACTCAGTGAAGGTTGCGTGACTCCCGACTTGGTCCAGTCCTCTTACTCTCACGTCCAATACGGTGGGTCAGTCGATAGAGTAACAGTCGCAACTCGAGGTGCGGTATGACGTCTTTCATTTGAACTGCAACACAAAATATTTGTTATTCAGCTCTCCTAAGTGTAGATCTCTTATTTACTGCCGGATGATTTGATTTATTCAGCTCTGACGTACTAGGGAAATCGGATGGATCACAAGTCACCTGGAGGGTGCTCACTACAACCTGAATGTATCATCCTGCTCTTTTACTAATGCCATAATGCGTATTTACTAGAGCTAGCAGGGCCATCAAAAGCTTAACTATTGATATTCTGTTAAAGGTCGTTTTCGTTAAGCTCACTTCATGCTGCATCAAAAAATGGGCCTGAGAAACTATAGAGACCTTGTATGCTTGTGAGTACAGTAGGTATGTAGATATGACCTGAAAAATATAAATCAAAGGAAATTCAAGCATCTTTAAAAAATGTTGTCAAATCTAGGTCAGAACATCACCATTGGTGCTCTATGATGGGTACAAGGTTTTCAAAGAAAAAAATTACCTTTATTTTGCTAAACCACTAGGTGTTTGTAGTGCTAATCAGAGGCCTTCTTGGAGTAATTATAAGCTATGAGTCGAGATATTTCTAGATAATGACATTGATTTGGCTTTAATGTTTCATTTTCACTCACCAAGTACAAAATAAAGGCTTTATGTCAAGACTTTGGTCTGTTTATAGCATGAATTATGCTCAAAATTCCATTTTGCTTGGCCTTAGAGGGGCATGGAGAGTTTGTGCCAAAAACTTAACAAACCTTAATAAGCCAAATTTTTCTCAACTGATTTTGATAAATGTGTCACTAAAGTACATACTGGATTTGGTATGAAAGTTACGCAAGAAGGCAGGTGAATATTATGGTTTTTGAAAAATGGCAATTTTGGGTAGTGATTTTGACCTCAAATTTGACCTAACTTTAGCCCCAGGCCCCTGTCTGTCTAATCGCTTGAGAATAAAGTTACATTTATGAAGTAAAAGCTACACTAGAGTAGAGCCCATGGTCAAATTCATTTGGCAGCACAATTTACCAATGGAGTTTTATTGCACTTTCAAAATGTCACCTAGAAGGATGAATTTTTGATGCTCCAAAGGCCACAAATGGGATCCCCCTGAAACTCCAGAGTGAGCCAAAGTGGCGTTTGAAATATCTTGTCACGCTCAACTTTTGTGCCAAGTTTCAGCCAAATCGGTTGACCACCACTTTTGGCTCCTGGAACACTTTCTCAGACAGGGATACCTAAACACGTCCTTGGTGTAACACGGGTGTAATAGGATATCGATTTTGGAGGTAGACTTTTATCAACTGCAATCTATCAACCATTTGCCTTGTTTCTATAGGACGTCCTGCTTTTACTGCTATCTATCTGTAATATCCTCAGACGTTTGATTGCATTCCTCTTTGCCTTTGTAGTATATCAACAAGACTGGCTTCAGAGCATGCGTGAAAGAGTTATTTGTGAACCAGCATGATCCTCTCTCAGTTTCATATGCAGTTATGCCAGGTTGGATGTTTTACGTATAACACATAGCAAGCTGCGATGATTGCAAACAAATCTTTCGATAGTCATCTTGACATAGACTTTGACTAAACGTGGATTGTCATTCGAAAGAATGGAAGGAGTAGACTAATGTATGGATGTGAAATCAGTGATAATAATAAACAGACATTTTAGAGCTTGTCTCAAAATGTTGATGAAACGACTCTTATCCATAGTGACATTATCATTGACCTATCATGAATGTAACGAACAATCTAATAATTATTCCATAATTTTTTAATCACAATGAATAACAAGCACTGTTTCATACGATGATATTTTTGAACAAGGTTTTTGCGCGTTGTTAAACGATTCGAAATAAGTCTTTTGTTGTTTCTCTACCTAACTCAGATGTGTGTGAGCCGGGTTGGAGTTTCTACAATGGCTCCTGTTACTACACCAGTGACACGTGCAAGACGTGGTCCAGCGCCAGCACAATCTGCAGAAGCATGGGTGCTAACTTACCCGCTATCGAAAGTCAAGAAGAGAATGTCTACCTTCAACACAGACACAATGGTGAAAAGGCCTGGATTGGTTTGAATGACATTGCCACAGAGGGATTGTTTACCTGGGTGGATGGGTGTCCTGATAAATTTCGCTACTGGGCAGAGAGTCAACCAAATGACTTTAAGGGGGAGGACTGCGTTCATTCTCTTGGTCCCAGGTACGGATACATGTGGAATGACGTGGATTGTTCTGCCTGCCACCAATACACATGTAAAAAAGGTGTGAAGTAGTAGTTTTCGTTAATCCTTTTTTTCATCTGGTAATGCATAAAAATGTCCAACATTTTTAGTGTTAGATGTGAGGAGCAGGCATTAGTGTCTACCTAAACTTAGTGTTACTACATTGATAATACTTTACCATCATCGCCACACACCCCCCAGAACTCTGTTATCCCTTTATCTCTGAGCATCTTTTCATTTTGAACCCATGAGTTAGCTATGCCATTCTGACAAATCCTGATACAGCCGAAGTATCGGCCGGCACATTACTGTTAAAGTCAATGTCCACTTTGATATATTTTTCTTTTGGTTGAAGAGAAGTATCGTCATTATCACTAACTCCTTTGTTTGCATTTTCTTGGCCAAATCGCAACATTTTTACCATTTCGCCATTAATAATAATAATAATAATAATAACAATAACAATAATATTAATCGTCTTTATTGATTCATAAGATGAAATACTACGTATCCTAGGTAACAAAAGTGTTAAAAAATGCCTCCTACTCAGCTAAGTTATATTTAAAAATTAGTCGATAAAAAAAAGAGTTTTCCACTCAGTCTATGAACAATTTTTTCCACCTCAGCTATATTCAACGATTATTTCTTTAATTCAATTGCTCGAATGTCCCTTTTACATTGACTAGGTTTGAAGTAATGAAGTGGTGTACAATTCCAAAATGTCTATTCACAGATTATGATGAATGTACAAGCAACCCATGTTTAAATGGTGGTACATGTGTAAATGGAAAAAGAAAGTTTAGCTGCATTTGTCCAGTAACACACAAGGGAAAATTCTGTGAAGGTCAGTGCTCGCTGCGTTTACTGTAACGGCACGTTACAAGTTTATACCATATATTGCCATGATAAATACACGAAGATAGAGAAGTCATCATTTCCTGGGTTTAGCTGCTACGACTCTGATATTGCTCTAAACAACATCTATCTATTCCACTTCAAATGGCTACATTACTACTTGAACACGTGCATTTAAAACAGAGAAGATAATAGCAACAACAGGCCTTTGGTAGCTTCTGCCGTCGAGTTTCATATCTCAAAAATCAATGTTTCATATTTTCTTCCTTATTCTTTCACAGAGTTCGATGAATGTTCCAGCAGCCCTTGTCAAAATGGAGGCACTTGTACTGACAGAGTCAATAATTTCACCTGTTCCTGTCCATCACCATTTTTTGGACATAGGTGTCAAGGTAATATGATACCTGTAACGAATAGAGAAACCTTGACTTCGCTCTGTGCTGTTGTAAAGCCCACAGGGAGCGGCTAGAGCACGAAAGAAGTGTAAGGAGAAACACGAGATGTAGTAGAGTGTTTCTCCCCACTTCTTGCCGCGATGGACCCCGGCATGATCGCAGTCGCTCAAATACCGCCTTGATTTGTATGAATTTATCAGTTATGCCACTTTCAGGTTATATTCTTCATAATGTCTCTCGGTTTTGTTCTGTTTCTTTTTTGAACACGAAACTATATATACTAGTGTTAGCTGTTGATTTCTATTAGCGTACGCGCAAGCCTACGATCTTACTAACTGAACATGAAAATCTTCGAAACTTGGTGAAGGTGCTTAGCATGTTTACAAACCTTCGCTTCGTTCTTCTGTTCTGCGGCTCGCTTTATCAGAAATTTCACTTTTTAATGAGAAAAGTTAAAGAGAAGTCCAGGAAGTGGTTGGAAATAAAAAAAAGGTATTGGCAAATGGCGCTGTAGCTGTACCTCATCTCTATGTTTGCACTTTGATAGAGCAAACTCTTTCAACCGATGACAGCGAACGTTGTATCCGAACTTTATAATAATGAGTAATGAAGGAATCAGTGGTTCAAAGAGCTCAACATGTTTAGTATGTGTATCTGCGGAGGCATGCTCATGGATCAAACTGAAATATAGCACATAGTAATGAGATATTTATGCTCGATATAATCATTTGAAAAGACAGTTCAAGAGCATCGAAAGCATGCAGGATCATTGGCGCACGAAGATCGCCTGCGGACATGTCAGTTTTAACCACGGGTATAGGAAGACAAAAAAAACTTTTCTTATGGATTTTATTATCCGTAATGTTGGTATAGTGAAAAATCCCCGATATATTAACATGACGTTAATTGATATCATCGAAAATAAAAGATACAAAAGTATCCTCTCAGCTCGTAATGAGGGTGTTATATTTCATCACAGCTTATGCTAATGTATGTAAAACTTTCATTTTTAATTCATTTTAAAACAGAGATTGGACCCGAATTTGATCAAACATGCATTTCATTCGTAATTTATTCAGAAACCGATGAATGTAATTCCAGCCCATGCCGAAATGGTGGAACATGTGTAGATGGTTTATACAGCTTTACCTGTGTGTGTTCTGGTTATTATGCGGGACTACGATGTGAAGGTATGGAAAGAAAATTTATTATTCCTATATTAATTTTGTTTAACCCAAGCACGTTATATTGTTATGTTCACGATTGGGACGCCAAACAGGTTTCCAAAAACTTGGAACGAGCCATTAATTAAAGTATTAACTGAGTGGAAAAGTTGTGCTTTGGGCACTTTATGATGTGCTCAGATTTAATGTACTCCTTCTCAATCATCTAACACTATGTTTTTGATGGATCATATTTTCCTTTGAGTTTCACCTGCCTTATCCTGTGATAGTCATTATGCAGCGGGAATGAATTCAAGTGGAACCTACTACTTAAGTGTGTCGGGGAATACTTTTCAAGTAAGACACATCTATCATTACATTATCATTTACTTGTTTTTGCAACTGCGCAAAATCAGTTAGTGTGCAGTTTGTCCACGATATATATTTCGTTTTAATTGCTTGTCTTGTAACGATCTTTCGAGAGCTAATTAATATTGTACCGTGCATTTAAGACCTCAATAGGTTCGATGAGTTTTGAGGCAACTGTGTCTTAAAATTTAAAATTCCCCTGACATTCTTTGATACCCTGAACCTGCTGTGAGATTATCTAAAGATAATACCTATTTTGAAGTTTAGACGTTGAAGATTCCCGTCACGATCGAGTAAGAGCAGTTAAACTTAAGAAGGGAAAAAAATGGAAAAGAAATATTATTCTTTTGTGTACTTTTTCTACCTAAGTGAGAGTTTGCGTGGAATCTTGATCTTGATCTAAGGGCAAATTATGTTATCTTATGAACATTATGTGGGCTATCTACCCTTCAGCATTCAATATTTTTCAAGTTTTCTTTCACGGAAAGCTCATAACAAAACTGTATAGAAGAAAATGATTAATTGGAGCAGTACGGCAAAGGTAACATGAACGGTCAAGTCCATTCCTGTACAAAATACTGACTTTATCATATAAGGGGCAAAATTACTTACTCGTGATTGGTCAAGACAGAGGGAATTTTTTCTTAATTTTTGTAATTGCCCCGGGAAAAATTACTTGAAAATGATTGGCTGAAAATCGCTTAGCAACGGCTGCCAAGGTAAACAAATTTCTGTTTGTTTTGTAACAATGGCGTCCCGTTTTGCGCGAGATCATTAAGAAAACATTTTGCCCCTTATATTATAAACAAGTAATCACATGGTTCCTCGTAAAATTAAGGATTAATATCACTTGTGTTTTCGGAAGTTGCAGAAATTGCCCCCGTCGCTGCGCGACTCGGGCAATTTCAGCAACTTCCGAAAACACGCGTGATGTTAATCCTTAATTTTACTCGGCCCCATGCGATTACCTATACTTATTGTATGGAATTACTAATAGGTTTATTGTGACATGACGTCTAACAATGGCGGTTGGACTCTCATCTCACGTTTCTCGAATGCTGATGGTACGAACTGGATGCAATACAGCGGGGACTGGTGGTACGGCCGCGCATCTTCTTACGGTAGTGTTACCAGCACGTCAGACAACTACGACATGATATCACCTGCATTTTGGCGGGTCACAGGCAATTACATCAAAATTACTCGGAGCGATGACAGCTCTAACACAGCCCTGTTACAAACTAGCGCCTGCATTGGAGGAAGAACCTTCAGAGATTTCATAACAAGTTACGGTTACTTCAGGTATGGTAATGTCTGGAACAGCAATGGGTGTCGTGGAACCTGTTACATCTCCAGTTATGGTGGTAACTATTCATCTACAATGGGCTTCAGTCGAGCTCACTGCAGCAGCAATCTTCAAAGTAACCGTTACTTAGGATTTTGGTGTGACTGGAGTTCTGGTGATGGAGCTGTGATGATGATCGGTGGAGGAGGAGATAGCTGTGATAGGGCAGATCATGGGATTGGTATCACAGAGGCTAATCAAGCCCGGTTTGGCACAGGGAACTGCGATGGAGACTTTGGTGAGAGCTGCAGTTACCCCAGCAGCTACTCTCTCAATTTTTGGGTTAAATAGCCAGATCGCTTTGTCCTTCTGCGTTTGTATCAGAACACAATCACGAGTCTTTTAGAAGTAACATGCACTGAGGAGCTTTTGAACTAACATTGTTTTGTGATTAAACCCAAACTCGGCCTAAAAAGTCATCACGATCGTGCGGAACATGAAACTCGTCAAAAAAATGACGCTTTGCAAAGTATCAGTGATATATTGTCTTATAATATAGAATCTCTTTTTTGTTTTAAGCATTTGATGATAAATATACTAGAGATTGAGAAGGAAAGCATATACGACACCAAAATGGGCTGAATAAACGTTTAAATGCATTGTAACCTGTCTATTACTCGAGGTGCTGGGGGTGAGAAAGAGGAACCACAAAATAACCTTGAAATTCGAGATCTTGCTCGCAACTCTTGCTTTTACTGATTGTGCGCTAACAGTAATAAATTCTTTTCCCCCTCATTATTGTTTTAACGTTTTGACTGCTCCCAAATGAATCAAGCGTCTGCCGTTATCATAGGAAAAAGGTACCTCCAGGTCGTTAACGTAGTTAGAAGACTGCTAACAATAAGGACCCGGGCGCATAGGACTGACAAAGTTTGTTTGGCTCCACCAATAATTTCGACAAAGTATGTCTCCACCAAATTTTCAATTAGTCAATCTTGGGCGCACTGAAACATGCATGTTACTATCAAAGTGTCAATCACATTTATATCTAAATTGAGCAGTAATTGGGCCTGGAGATTCGGCATAAATGTAAACTAGAAAGCCACAATAGTTGTATTCTAAGTTTCTTGAGTATTCGTCCCGCAGCATCCCAAGTTAAAAATCTTCCTTCTTCATCGTTTGATTGCCGCGTAAAAATGAGATATTTTGGCGGCCTCATGCTTGAAAGACTCGCATTTAAAATGCGAAGTCAAATTTTTTTTATCAACGTTTTCCTTCAAATTGTGGCTTGTGAATCAAAAATACTGTGAGGCAGGACGACGGCGCCTTTGAAAATTGGTAAGGCTTGGCAGAATTTGGTAGGGTGTACTTGTCTCACGGAACTGATGAAATATTTTTTCGCAAAATAAACCAACATTTTCCTAGCGCACCCGGGCTCTAATTCAGTGTAGGTCTTTTGTACATTGAAATCGTTCGCCTTTCTTAAGGGAACAACAATTTTTCTTGGGGATTTGCGCTTGCATGAAGGTTCTTTGATGTTGAACATATGATGCTTTGGATTAAGAATTCATCGTCAAGAAATTAACCAGTGTCCAATCTATCACCACTAATTCCTCATAGCTTAAACGTGAAACTGTTTGAGTCGAAAGAGTAACGGTTTCCCGTTAAGCCTGTTTGTCTTGAAGTTTGATGAATTTTTCTAATTCGTCTTTGAGTTACCTTTCTCTGGAATGAGTTTGTTTTCCTTTGCTCACAAAAGGCAACAAGTTGAGTCCTTAAAGATTCATTTTTCGTCAGCAGCATACCTCTCAGTTACGTACCTGTTTTTCTTGGTTAAAGAAAATTGATTTTCGCGTCATGAAAATTCTTCTCTAATGACAGTTTTTTTTTTTTTGTTAGGTAATAAGTTTTGTTTAAATGGTTGTGGCTGGTAACACAAGTTAAAAAAAGGTCATAATGAAGTTGCTACATAAATTTAAACATCAGTAGCAGAATTATTTAGCTGGAAACAGCTATGCAGCGAAAAAGAAGATGTGGTAATCTAAACGGATGGGTAGGGGCAAGGAGTGAGGCGCTAAGAGATTGTCATACTTTGTTAGGCTTGAAAGTTGCGATAGAATAGCTTTGAGTTTGAAAGGTTTGAGGTAACACTGTTCATGTGAACGATTTGATGCTTAATGTTGATGAGAGGAGAAGCCTTATGGCTGTGTTCATGCAAAGACACTCGAATGATTTCGTCTGCTTTGCTTTCGTCTTTCGTGTGCGCCTTATGCGATCACCGTGAGTTCAGATGAGTCCGTAGGATACGATTCGAAGCCGAAAAGCCAAAATATTGTAAAGTGAAATAATAGTGGAATGACTGAGTAAATCCCTATTTCCATGGTTTTACATAAAGAGCGCACAGAAATTCTTCCCAGTACTGGTATTTTAATTCCTCTCCCTTAAGGAACTTGAAAAACAAAAACGGAAATGTGCAACTCGCAAAATAACCGCTCGCATTATATGCTCACCCATTGAATAAGGTGTATTTCTCAAACAAAAAAAGAGAAATACTCGGAGAGAAGTGCAGTGAGTACAATACGGTCGCGGTCATGAATGGAATCGAGCAAAGTGCAACAAATAATGCAACCTTGCATGTCCAAAAACGGCGTTAATTGTCTTAGCAAAGGCGATTATTGCAAACGTAATAAGAAAAAGGTTACGTTGGCAATATTTATTCTTTAACAACTTCTACCAGATTTTCATCTCTATGGCGCCCGCGGCTAAAATGCTCGACGGAAGTAAGTAGGAAGAAAGAAAGAGGAAACTGACACTTCTAACGTGTCTTCCGAAATTTGTTACCAGTAATAACTGTTAGGGCCAAATAGGAAATAATTTGGCTGTCGTCGGCCAATTATCAATAATGTTTTCAGATAGACGCCCGCAATCAGTTTAGCGACTATTACCTATGGGAAGTGGAGGTTAACAGTACTTGATGATCACTACCGAAATAGCCATCCAGCTCACGCGAAAAGCACTGTTAAAAATCCAAAAGTAAAAAAAGAAACTAGAATCCTAAGTCTGTAGAAATTATGTACTAATTAAAATTCACAATAGTCGGTTGAACAAAACTCCTTAAACTTGAAAAAATTCCAAACTGAGGAATTCGAATGAGCGTCAACGAAAACTAAAAACACAACAACAGCCCAAACTAAACTCCGTACTAAAAATAATAAAAACAACTAAGATACGCGAGCAAAATGTACACGTCAGCCTCTTTTCAATGTCAAGGCCATAGTCATGGGTGAAAACAAAACAACACGGAGGGGGGAGGGAAAAAGTGAAATTGAAAGTAAAAAAAGAAAGAAACTTTCTACAAGCACTATTCACCAGTGTTGTGTATACTAAAGACGATTAGCCTCGTTTTATTACTTTTAATGAAAATTGTATTAAGGTTTATGACGAAAAGTAACATATCATTATTCTATGTTGATTTTTGTAGTTGACGTCAACTTCAGGTAAGTCGCACGAGTTTCTAAAAACCGCTTAAGTTTCACATTGAAGAAAAAATTAACAATTAATATGAAAAAGTTATCAGTTTAAGACAACTAGAGTCTAGAATAAAAGGCCTATACTTTATTAAAGGAAATTAACGCTCCATGAAATTAAGGTGTTGGAAATTAACGCGACTTAAATTAACGCGAATTTAATGGAAAACGAGTTTCGAATAAAGAAAATTAACACGAAAGAGGAGGTAGAATTTCACAATAAAGGAAATTAACGCCATTAAGACACAGTTGGTGGTGACAACTGGAACAAATTCATTTCAACACTGGATGTGAAGAAATTTAAAACTGAACAAAACTGAGCCATGTGCTCAACACAACAGTACGCAAAATTCTAAAGGTAGGTTACTTGACGGGATCTGCCCATTTCTAGCGTTTTTCACGCAGTCCATGATACCAGCCGATCTCCACCCCGATAAAATAATGCGCTTTCCTTTATCTGTTAAAAGCCATTCGTAGACTTCCTTCATTAGCTTGCCGTGGCGGGGCTTCAAGGTTGATAACTTCAAGTCAATTTCAATTGTGGTAACATCTTTCCCGGGGTTTCGCAGCATTTTATCCGTGATACATGATGTGAAATATTCACTTAATGCACGTTTCTCCATGTTTTTGACAGCTTCATTTGTTGAGAGATCAAGTGGTTGGAGAAGATGTGTCATGTTTTTGGCCACCATTTCACTGATAATGTTTAGTTCTTTTACTCGCTCTTCAAAAAGCTTCGATGACTGAGCTTTAAATGAATCCCAGATCAAAACGGTTCTGGCGTTCTCGTCAAGGCCGAGCCTTGCCTTGGTTCGCTGAATGTAGGGGTGAAGAACATCATTTATCAATCGCAAGGTTTCCTTTCCGTTGCTCCAATGTTTCTTGTTGCAGGACAAACAAAACTCTTCTGGAAAGTTTGTAGCTGGCAAATATCTAGCTGTTTTACCCTGATAGATTAACTGGAATGGTAAAACAGATCCATCCAGTGTTTCTGCTAAAGTGAGAGTCATGCCTCGTTTGTCACTTCCTCCTTTCTTCGCCACGTGTTTTGAATTGGTTTCTGCCATTGTTACATTCTCTGTTAGGACAAATTTTGACGGTGTTTGATCTACATTATTAATAAGCTGATCTGGAATGCTATGTGTTGACACGGCTTCTGCAACTTCATTAAGAAACCGGTATCGCGTTTCGAGCCATAATTTTCGCGTAACTGTCGGTCGGGAAGTAGTCGCAATTCTGAGTGTGAACCCCATTCTGGTGTACAGAGATTGCACCCAGCCATTAGTAATGCGAAACTCAAGGTATTAGCCATATTTTGCCAGATCGCTCATGATCACACCCATCAGAACACCATACAAAACGTGTCTGTTTAATAATAATAATAATAATAATAATAATAATAGCTTAATATTTGTAGTGCGCAAATTCCATTTACATATGATTAAATGCGCATAACAATTAGAGAATATAAAAATTACACCAGGTAATAAATCACAGTAGGACCCTTATCAAATTTACAAACTAAAAAAACCTTATCTAAATTGTAAAAAACTATTAAACCATGCACAATTCAATCCTAATTAAAGGCTAAATTAAAAAGGTGAGTCTTAAGTATAATTTAAAAATTTACTAAAATCAGTCTCGTTGCGCACTTTATAAGGAATACTGTTCCAGAGTTTAGGTGCTACACACATATATAGCTCGATCACCTAATGTTTTCTTTGTTATGGCATTTGGTGCTTGCAGCGTGAGACCCTTGTTACTAGATCTTAAGTTGTATGGTCCATTCTGCTGCAAGTTAAAAAGATCTTGTAAATAGACTGGACCATGTCCATTAATTGCTTTGAAAGTGATCATGAGAAATTTGAACTGTATTCTAAACTGAAAAGGTAACCAATGCAGTTCTCGTAGAACTGGTGTGATGTGACACATCTTTGGGGTATTAAAAATAATCCTTGCTGCCGAATTTTGAAGGCTTTGGAGCTTAGATAATTCTCTAGCTGGTAAACCATATAATATACTATTACAGCAATCTATCCGTCCGATTACTAAAGCATGTATCAATGTTTGTGATGCTTTCTCATCTAAGTATTTCGTAATGCGTCGTACATTCGTCAGATGATAATAGGCAGCTTTGCACGTATTGTTAACATTGATCTTCATATTAAGATTACTGTCTATCCATGTGCTAAGGTTCTTTGCTGATTTCACTGGGAAAACTTTAGAGTCACCAACACACAGGGAGATCCCATCAACCTTTGCCAACTA